TTGCAGGGATATTTTGGGGAAACCAGGCCAAAGAGCTATTCTGTGGGATATGAACCTGTAAGCATTCCTAAGTTTCACTTCTACCCAGAAAAGGGAGCACACAGTGACTGAAGTTGTAATTTGTTGAGGGAACTGACACATTAGTTTGCATATCCATTGCCTATAGCTGGGCAGGGCTTCTTTGGAGAAACAATAATTATTATCCCTTACTAAAAAAAAAAAAAAAAAATCCTCATGCTCAGAGAGATAGCAGTTCTGAATCGTTTGTCCTACTGGCCCCAGAGGATTTCTCCTTTAGTCCAAAAAGAGAAAAGGTAGTGACGCTGGAGACCTTATCATGTCAGTGACCTCTTCCCTGTGATCACCCGCCAGAGGGCACCCTGCACATCAGGGTTCCGGAGGCTGTAGATGACAGGGTTCAGCATGGGGTTGATGACAGTGTTAAAAATTCCAACAGCTTTATCCTTATCTGAAAGCTTGGTTGAGCCTAGTCGCATGTAATTAAAGACACCAGAACCATAGAATATGGCAACGACAGTGAGATGGGAGCCACATGTGGAGAAGGCCTTCTTCCTGCCCTCCACTGAGCGGATTCTTAGAACTGCTGCTGCCACGTGAGCATAGGAGGTGACAATGAGAGCCATGGGTGTACCTGCCATTATGAAACCAACAGCAAAGAGCAGCAGCTCATTGAGTTGGGTGCTGGAGCAAGAGAGCTGGAAGAGCTGTGGCAGGTCACAGTAGAAGTGATTGATCACATTGGGACCACAGAAGTTGAGTGTGGATATGGCCACAGTGTGGGTCAGTGCATTGGTGAAGGCACAAGCCCAGGACACAGCCACCAGTATCTTCTGAACCATCTGGCTCATGCGGGTGCTGTAGGTGAGGGGCCGGCAGATGGCCAGAAACCGGTCATAGGCCATGGCTGTCAATAGGAAGCAGTCCACACCAACCAGGAGATGGAAGAAGAAAACCTGTGTGAGGCAGGCTCCATAGGGAAACTGTACGCTTGTGGGACAAGAGGCGACTCAACATTGAGGGAACAGTGACAGTGATGCACCCAATATCCAGCACTGATAGGTTCCCCAGGAAGAAGTACATGGGGGTGTGGAGTTTGGGCTCCACCAAGATGGCAGCCAGGATGCTGAGGTTGCCCCCAACTGTGAGCAGGTAGGCAAAGAGGAAGAGCACAAAGACAAGTGGTAGCAACCCCGGTGTGTCCACCAAGCCCAGCAGGATGAATTCAGTAACGGCTGTTCCATTGGCCCCAGATTTTGGTTGCATTAGTTCCTGCAAGGAAACATCCAAGGAGATAAAGAATCATTCTTCTCAATATATTTATTCAAAAAGAAGAAAATAGACTCCTTCCTATGTGTTGAGCCCTCTATTTAGTCCTGCCTCTCCAAGGAAAGACTCTCTTATTCCCAAGGACACACCACGACTATTAACTCTCTCAACATTTACCTCAATAGCTTTTCTTCATTCTCAGGTATATGGTCAGGTGACATCATCACTCTAAACATCCCTCCCTGTCTTAAGTGAAAGAATCTATTTGTAGAGATTTGAAGGACAAAACCCTTGGGAAAAATAAATAAGTAGAAAGTGTATTTTTGATTTGAACATAGCAGAGTAAATCTGGAACTTCCTCTCCTCAAATCTCATCTCTTCCCAAGACAAACAAAACAAGAATAAAAATATAGATTCTATCTTCAAAGAAATTGGTAAATATCCAAAACTTTTAATGCACAAATTAGATCAGAGACCTTCAAGATTAGTGGACATAAAATAGGAGAGTGGCAGAAAGAATAAAATCCATGACCATAGGAAAGTCTAGACAAGTACAATTCTCCATAGAAAAAGGGCACTCACTAGGGAATAAAACCAAAAGCCCTTCTTTGCAATAATGGGAGTAGGGTGCATAGTATGGCATCATTACCTCTGTGATCCTGAGTTGGATTCAAGAAGCAGGGGAGACGTAAATGACAAATCTCACAGGCAAGCTGTATTTGCAGGCTGTAGACAAAACATAAAGCTGGGGTGAGAGATAAAGAAAACAGTGCCTGTTACCTATCTACATTGATTACAGACAGGGAAATGCTAAAGTAACTCCCCCCTATTATGTGCCAGAAGACATAATAGTTATGCAAATGAATGCTCTCAATCTGGTATTGATACATACAGCCAAAAGTGCAGGATTTCAGGCAGAAATAAGATAATAGCTAGTGGATTTTATTGACTTTTATAATAGACTTAATTTGACAGAAAAGTAAGGCTCTAAGAGACTTTAATATAATTAATTATTCAAGAGATAGAACCAATATACTCACCTTTTCCAAGTGCCCATGAAACATTCACCCTCCCCAAAAAGCATATGTAAACTAGAAATTCAGCAAATTCTAAAAGAATAAATAATTCATACAATAATATTTAATCACAATCCAATTTAAAGAAAAATGATTTTTACAAATAAATCCTAATATTTTAAAAAATTGTTAAGAAACAAGTGGACCAAAGAGGGAAGCAAAACTAACAATAAATAATATCTGTGGGAGGAAAAGGGGAGATAGTGAAATCAACACACACCAGAATAAAGGGTTATCACTAAATCAATGTTCAGAAGAAAATTTATAACCTTAAATAAAAATATTAAAAAACAAAAAGAAAGAACATTGTTTAAATAATCATATCAGCCCTGACGGGTTTGGCTCAGTGAATAGAGCGTTGGCCTACGGACTCAAGGGTCCCGGGTTCGATTCCGGTTAAGGGCATGTACCTTGGTTGTGGGCACATCCCCAGTAGGGAGTGTGCAGGAGGCAGCTGATGGATATTTCTCTCTCATCGATGTTTCTAACTCTCTATCCCTCTCCCCTCCTCTCTGTAAAAAAACCAATAAAATATATTTTAAAAAAATAATAATCATATCAAGAAATTAGAAAAACTATAAGAAATGGGAGAGGTTGGTAAAAGGGTGCAAACTTTTAGTTAAAAGAAGAATGAAGTTTAAAGATCTAATGTATATGGTGGTGACTATGGTTAATAATATGGTTAATAATATTGCATTACATCATTGAAATTTGCTAAGAGAACTTCAGTGTTCTCACCAAAAGAAAAGTAACTATACGAGGTGATGGATGTGCTAATCCAATTGTAGGGATCCTTTCACAATGTAATCATCATGCATGTTCACTTCAAACATATTACAATTTTATTGTCAGTTACATTTCAAAAAAGCTGAGAAAAAAAGTTAAAATAAAATAACATTTTATAAGCTCTAAAAAAAATGACAAGTCCAGGAATAGACCTAAGGTAATGTAGGAATTTAATACATGATGTAAGTGGCATCTTAAATAAATGGGAAAATGTATTATGCAATAAATTCTATGAATAGAAGCAATAACATAGCTGGTGTGGCTCAGAGATTGAGCATCAGCCTCTGAATCAGGAGATCAGCGTTCGATTCCCCGTCAGTGCACATGCCTGGGTTGCTGGCTAGATCCCCAATGTGGGACATACAGGAGGCGGCCAGACAGTGATTCCCTTGCATCGTTGATGTTTCTATCTCTCTCTCCATCTCCCTTCCTCTCCGAAGTCAATAAAAATCTTTTCTTTAAAGGGAAATTTGGCAATATTTTTCAAAATTACAAAAGTGTTTTTCCTTTTACCCAGAAATTCCACTTCTGAGAATTTATCCAACAGATATATGGGCACATGAGAAAAGTGCCATATGTGTGAGGCTGTTCGTTGCAGCACTGTTTGTAATAGCAAATCATTGAAATAACCTATCTGTTCATTATTAGAGGACTGGCTAAACTCATAACGGTATATCCTTACAAAGGAATACTATGCAGCTGTAGAAAACAGCTCTGTCTGTGCTAATTTGAAAGATACCAAAACTATATTATTAAACGTAAAATACAACTTGTAGAATGAATACTGTATGCTTTGGTTTACATTGAAAAGGAGGAAAAGAACACACACATGCACACTGATATAGTATAGTATAGTATAGTGTGATATAATACAATATAATATGAATTTTTATTTGTAAATATATATTCAGAAGAATACTCGAGACACTGGAAGTACTGGCATTCTCTTGGGAAGAAGATTGAGTAAGTGGGAGACAGAGTGATAGGATGAATGAGTAAACAATATATTAGAAAAACAAAAGAAAAGTAAATCCATTTAAATAAGCCAATAAACTGATATCTGGGCAAGTAAGTATAGGCAAGAAAAAAAATGGGTAAATGCAAGCAGTTACAAATAGAAAATATTACAGCCAGAGATACACAAGAAAAAATAAAATAAATTTTAAGAGAATTCTCCCTATAACTCTATATTACTTAAATAAAAAATTTAAGTAAATAGGCACAATTATAGAAAAATGTCAATTAAAATATATTTTAAATAGTCTTAAAATGCAAATTAAACAGAGAAAAAATATCAAAAAATAATTACTCTAGTAGCAATCTCTAGGCTCACAAAACTATTGAAAGAAATTTTGTTTAAACTTTAATGAATAAAATATCCTCATGCTATATCAACTTCCCTGCAGCAGAAAAATATTAAGCACCCCAATACTGCAAAACCATACAACATAATATCATTTTAATATTAACACAAAAACACTCAACACTCACACTCTCACTCACAGAGAAACAAGACTTGAAGGAAAGACCAACATGTATCCGTGATTTGAGTAATAATACAGGTGATTTTTATTATCTTTCTTCTAATCTCCACTTTCTGATGTGTCTACAATGAATATCATTTATTCTAATAATATTTTATAAAATACCACCTCCTGTGCGTGATGAAGACATGCCTATTAAGTGCCACATCACAATAAACTAACTGAACAAAAGAGAAACCAGAAACCACTTCCCCTGTGATTTCCACTGCACAGGCTGCCCCAGTACCTTTAATACTGACAGACTCTCCTGGGAGCATTCCCTGATAATAATCATAGCTAACAGTTCCCAAGACACTTACTCTGGACTAGGCACTCTGTACAGGTCTAAGTGCATTGCATGTATTAACTCATTTATTCCATTCCTATTACATGCATACCATTTTTAATCCCTGTTTAAGTCACATACGTCACATAAAGCAAGTGGCAGAGGCAGTTTTTAACCCATGTAGTCTGACTCCAGAGCCTGCCCTTAACCTTTACACATACCGCTGCTCTAAGAAAACCAAGGTATCTCAAGGATCATAAGGCCATGTCCCTCTCCTGCAATTCTCTCGAGATCTATTTCTGACTCATTCTTATGACTCAAAGACCCAGTCCCACAATCACTGTAGCTGTACCCTTTTAGATTCCAGTCTGCAGTAGCTGAAGTCCAAATGAGTGCCTTGGGTAGGCCACCGTCACAGTCAGCAGCTGCCCCTTAATTTCCCTTTTTGTTTTAACCCATGTCATCAGATTGCAAACTTTCTGACTTCCTCTATCCCCATCTTTGCTCATGCTATCTCCTCTATATAGAATGTCCTTGTTCCAACATCACATGGTCAAAGTTTTTAAAACTCAGGGCAAATGCTCCCTCCTCCAGAAATACCTCCCTGATCTGTGCCCATCTTAAAGTGATATTTACATCGATAACATTCCCACTGCACTTTGCCTTCTATGTGGCACTCACCACTTCACCTTCTGGCCCAATCAGTTAGTCGTTCAGTGTGCGCCTACAGTCCATTTTAGGATAAGATTCGAGACTGATTCAACTTTGAGAACTATATGCACAAATTCATTTTAGCTATGTTCCATTCACAGATAAAGTAATATATTCTGACAAAGAGGGCATCATTGTGGCCTACAGGAGCTGGTCTTAGAGAACTGGTCAGGCTGCCTAGTAAGGACTGGGTTCTGAACATGGAAGTCGTACACTGAGTTTCACCTCACTCACCCCTAACGGAATAAATAAAAACAACAAGCTTTCATCTAAAAGAGAGAGAACTGATAGAGATGCCTGAAGGAGGAACCCCAATCTCTGGGTCAAAGTCCCAGCTCTTCCTCTCACCTGATATGTCATCCTGAGCAAGTCTCTGATTTTTGCTTATGAGACCTTGGTTGCTGCATCTGTAAAACCAGGAGGTTTGACTACTCAAGTCCCTTCCCTCTTACATGGGAGCAGAGGGAGGGCCACGAAAGAACTCACCTTGCATTGGCGCAGAGGTCAGTGGGGTTTATAAAAAGGGGTGTAAAGGGGGCGAGAATCTGCCCAAGCTCTGTCAGCTACTCAGGAGGCAGATAAGGGGCTATATATATGGAAATGAGATAAAGAGGC